ATATTATAGTTTTCTAAAATATAATATTATTTACTATGATGTATGATTATATTAATATTTTTTTTTTTTTTAATGCTTGATAAATTATTAAATTAAAAAGTGACACTTAGTTAAGCTTTTTTCCGTTCATATATAACTATAAAATTCAAATCATCATAAGCGTATTATATTACTCTGTACCTATATTATTCATAAGTTATGAACATGCAATAATTGCTCAATGCGTACATTAACAAGGTACTGAATTTATACTCAACAATATAAAATTTAGCCAAATGCCTATATTATTATACTATTATAGTGATCGATGTTCAACATAATATATTGGGCAAAAGTATAATACAAACGTTTTGTACTGAACATAGAACAATATTTTTATTTACGATAACAGTAATAATAATAATAACAACAATATATTAAAAAAAACAAAACCAATAACAATCGGCGGCGCCCTAGTCATACTTTGCTCTCGGGACCGTCAGCCGAGTGTTCGAAAGATTTTCGTATTGCCGACAAATATTTGGAAGTGATGTGTACCACTCGCACGTCCTGCCCCTGAAAAATGACAAAGGTGTCGTTATTATCGTATTTTGTTTGTTTAAGTTTCAATTATAGTACAATATAATATAATATGTTTTTTTATTTTTTTTTTTATTTTAGAACTTTCAGCTGATAATTATTACAGTTCAACAATTATTTAAAATATAATATGTTATTATGATATACTTCGTAATACATTAACATTGGAATGGCAAACACAAAAGTAATTGTTGAACTGCAATATTTTATATTATTCAACGCCATATTATATTGTAATCTTTTTTATTATTATTATCAAATATTCAAATCGTGACCTAATATAGTGGCACGTATAGAAATATTATTTTCCTTCGTCTATACGCCCAACACTAATAAAAAATAAGTATTGATTCGAATTAAAACATATATTTGTTATTTTTCCTAATCATTTTTTTAGAAAAAACCCGGCACAATAATGGGAGCTACTATAATATTTTACTACTGAAATATTATGTGATAAATATTTTCAATTAGTATGAGAGATATTATATCTATTTATTTAAAAATATTCATAGATAAAATTATAAAATGATAAAAACATAAAAAAATAAAATACCGCGTTGTAGGACATTTGAATATTTTCATACGGAGATCAATACTTTTTCATATACATGATGAATAAAATATGCAAATACTTTCGGTGTTTTGCGACATGGGTAAACACTCAACACGCGACAATGATAAGGAAAAAATTTAAAACCATGGTTCTATAGAGTATATTCCCAGTAATCATTTTCTAAAATAGTAATATTTTGAAAATATAATGGAAATTCGATGCAGACTATTTTTTTTGATGTGGAGCGTCACTTTATTATTCTATCACGCCTATCACGCCATGGGTTACAGTTTGTTAAGATTAACAGGGTAGAACAATTTTTCGCCATAGGTCGATCGTAACAAACGAAAAATGACATCGAAAACAGATTTATTCGATGGGTTCGACCTGACAGAAAGGACGAAAATCGGTTGCCAACTGCTCAGGTCACTCATATTTGAGACGGAGCTTTAACTGCAGATTTACACTAACTACACTTATCAAAATTTGGAAATATAAAAATTATGAACCGCAATGAATTCAAATTTCGATTCTATTTTTGTCTTGAATTTGATATTTAAAATGTATAAATGTATCATAACAAATTTAAACTTGTTTTCAGATTGTCTATCAGCTCTATAATAGCCTACGACGAGAAGGCACACAAGACCGTCAAGAATCGCAAAAACAGTTGAACCAAATGGTACACTCACTTTGTGTCGACTCGCGACAAATGCAGTACTCGGGATCGGCCCGAACCACACGGTTCGATCAGGTACCTGGAGGCGAGCACGATGCCACGGACCGAGCCCGCCGCCGGTTGCTTGGCGTCCGGGTGTTCGACGGATGTCTCGACGACCGTTCAACCGCCCCGGTTGAGATCGGTTTGCCACGACCTGACCACGCAATAGTCCTTGGCCGGATGCGGGATCATCGCCGCGACCGCGTACTGATACAGGTCGGCGCGCGCGTCCATCTTGGCCACCACCCTGGCCGACACCAGGTCGGCGTCCCACACGTGCCTCTCCCACAGGATCCGGGCGAGCACCTCAGCGGGTGGCGCCTCTACTTCCGTGCACACCCTCCACAGCCGCAACGGGCGTCCGTCGCCGACCTTCTTGTACGATATGTCGACGTTCTCGAAACTGCCCACGGCCATCCATCCCCTGTTCCTGAAAACACACGTAGGTACCGAGTTTAATATTATTTACATGACAGCGCCGAAGTTGTACATTTTCAGATTAACATTATATCTGCAGGTAGTATGATTGTATAATATCTAATATTTTAATCCTCTATATATATCAAAAAAGTCAATGTTTGAGACGTTTGTGTGTTTGTGTCCGCGTAAGCGATTCACAGCCAAGTCTATCACACTTTATTTGAATCCTTGATCTTTTATGATAAGGCCAAGGGAGAGACCTAGTCTATCATGCGTATTACGCATATCAATTATGAAAATGTTTGGAAAAAATAATGAGATGACCATTCTATAATCACAATATTCATGAAATAATTTTTTTTTTTTTTATTGATCTTAAGCTTCGGCAACTATGGCCATTAGCTGTAGTGGTTTTATTTGTGTGTTGTTATGTCGGTAGGGGGAGGAACACGTGTGTGTTGGGTTTTTGGCAGAATTTTGAATGGGGCACCCGTAGGTTTCTGCCATGCCCCGGAGTGGGGGATGGCGGCACTTGTTCTCCGGACACCGTGACTTGCCCGGAGAAAAATACCGCCCAGTGGTTGAGAGGATCGAACCCGCGACCGCCAGCGCCGCAGACGACGTGTCCGACCGCTCGGCCACCTCGTCCCCCTCATTTCAGGGGGGAACAGTGCCCCCCCCTCTTGCACACTACAATTACGACATTATACGTACGGCGAACAGTTGACGGTAGTGCTTGATGAGGAACAGCAAGCAGTCGTGCACTCGTGCGCCGCCTTGTTCTGTCCCAGCTGCTTGGAATCGGGCATACCGATGGTGGCGGCGGAGGCGGCAGACGACTGATGGTGGTTCCGGCGTGGCGACACGGACGACGAACGGTTGTGCGACGTGACCGGGATGGACGGCGTTCAGACAAGAGAAACGATAAATTTAAAAATGTAATAAATCAAATGTTTTATATTATAAAAAATATTTTACTTAATTTTGGTCAAGCCAATATAGGTAAAATTTTAATTTTACTTTTTGAAATAAATATTGAAGTTTGTACTATATGTCCAAAACATGATTTAAAAAGTATAATTTTTGAAAAATTCTTTTTATTTACTTATGTAAAAAATATAAATAAGATTATAAATGGCCTAGACCGCAATGTATATAAAAGTGATACTCTTAAAGAGTTAGCTCTTATTTATTGTTTAAAACATAAAAGAAGAAATTAATTTATATAAATTTATATTTTTATATATTATTTTTAGTTTAAGTAATTATATTAACTTATGGTTTTCTAGTTTATCTATGTCCTTAATTTTGTTAATAGTTATATTAAGTTATAACTTATAATTCCCTTATATCCATAATGTACCACTTCCCATATATTTGTTGGTAATTATTTTTCTCAATCTTTACCTAATTAATATTTATATTATTGTATTGTTTTTTATTTGTTGGATCATGTCTTAAAATTAACTATGTTTCTAACTATGACAATTTAATATGTACATTAAATGCAACTTTAAAATGTAATAATATAATAAGTTGGTAAATATTTTTCTCAATCTACAACTGTGATATATCTTATAATATTATAATTATAATGTTTTTTCTATTTGTATTATTATGTATTAAAATTAACCATGTTTCTATGACAATTTATGTACCTATATTAATTAATGTATTTAATTTAATCATATTTAATGTAAATTGGTTGTGAAAATAAAATGATTACTATTTGTACATATTCTGTCGTTTTATATTATAAATTTATAATAAGAGTATATTGGATATTTATCCATAGTAATGACAATAATTTATTTTAAATAAATATGAAATAATAAACAAACCCATTAGCACGGTTTTAGCTTTTAAAGTTTTAACTATAATACTCATAATACCTAATTAATATGTTATCTTAAATTTCAGTATTATCAACATGAACATATAATAAGATTATCAATGATCACAAGAACAAAACGGTTATGGTAATGGTGATTTGTCATTGCGACCATTAGAGGATACACAAAATACCTTACTTATAACCGATAACAACCCAAACATCTAAAATATTATTAATAACTATTATTGATAAAAATTTTTTTTTAAATATATGATATATTAGTAGTTTTAAATATTTGAAATAAATTTATAAACTTTCCAAGGTGGGGGGGGGTGAACCCCCTACCCCCCCCCGTGTCTACGGCCCTGATGTATTAATTATTACTGTAGATATTCATTTAAACCGAATTACTTTACTTTATAAATAAAAATATCTTCACAGAATTTAGTTGTTAACAAATATCACCGTGTCAAATATCAATAATTGATGTAAGTCTTTGCTTTAAGCAATAATGTGAAAGAAAGTATACACAATTATGAAATTCGATAAAGAGTAAAACAACAATTATTCAAAGCTTGCTGAATGCTGAACGATAAGCAGAACGATATGCTGCAGTGATAAGTGATAGCACAAAATTATGTCTCTCGATTGATTCATTAATTCACTAAACGATTGCAACTTATAATATTTGTACCTAATGTTGTATTATACTGTCTTGTAAATATTAATATGGGAATGTAAGTGGTCTAGCGTTTCTATAGCTTACAAAATAACAACTGTACGTATTTGATTTTTATTTCGTTTCTACCTCGCGATTGGTAGGCGTTTGGTTGTATATGTATATTTTTTGTGTACTTACGATGATATATTCGATATTATTCCTCCAAATTATGTGTTTAGTATTTCGAGTACTTGGTGAATCTAATGGCTACTACTGTACGGGTTCAAATAGTGGTAATATACATTTTAAATGCATAAAAACACCGTGCAACGGCACTCTGTGCGAAACAATAATCGACTACTTAGAAAAACCAAGACCGGACGTAATTATAGATACCAACATTAAAGTACTGTTGAATCTCGAAATCGAAAACATTTCTACTATCCACGTAAGTTGTATCACTAGACACTAGTTACTATTTTATACTAGCCAGTAGACTAATCAAAGAGAATAATCTAAATAGAATATTTTCCATGTGCAACTTGTAAATACATTTATTAAGTAGCTTATCTCACATTTTCGTGGACAACAACACTATATAGGTACCTATGTATCTATGTAGGTACTTACCTATTGGCTATTGTATATATTTTAATAAAAGTTACCATTTTATTTAAGAGCATATAAATGCACCTGTTACACAAACTTAATAGTTTAGCATACCTATACGATATTCTTATATTTTTAAATATTTAACGGTCCCTATTATATAACGATAATATAAAATCGTAATTTATATTATGTTCGAGTGAAGTAGAGACCAATGGTTTGACTGTTTATAATGATGCATTATTATTTAAATTAACCCATTATTGTAAACCAGCCTAGGAACATTAATAATCTTTTTTATATGTCTTGCGCCAAAAATAACCTGTAGCTTTAAAAAAAAAATGATTGTTTTTAAGACTATCTAGTGCCTCATAGATTATATAAGCTATGTATAGCCGTATAGCGTATAGGTACATCTTTCGCATTTAAACTAGAACTAATTTATTTAACTAAAGTTTAAATACAAAATATGGATAGTAGTTATCTTCATCTAAAAACTTCAAAGAGTATTATAGTATCCATTCAAATAAACATGTGAACATTTTTTAGATTCAACTTTAGATTCTGAGCGGCGCGGAGCTAGGAAGCTAGTCGTTTTATATTCTGTATACAAAATGTCTACCAGAAGGAGTGCTTCGATTTCAACATAATATAATACCTTATCTTTTAGCAAATTGGATCAAGATGGTACTTTAGACATTTCATTTTTCGATTTTCTCAAAATGTATTTAATGCCACGGGAAAAACTACTGAAAAATTACGAAAAACCGCTTAAAATAGGATTTTAATTTCTAACGATTTGTGTATTACCGACTACCGTAGCAACGAATAAAAAATTATAACATTATAATATTAATTCAACTTAAAGATTATAATAAACTAGCTGATCCCGTGCACTTCGTTTCCCGTTAAATGTACCAACTCTATAATATGACTCAAACATTGTTTAATGCGTTATTTAATATTCGGTGTATGATGTTCTAGATTTATCTTAACTTTTCTGTTACCCGGAATAAAAATTCTGTTTCGCAGCAGTATATTATCAGGTAGGCAATGTACCTGCGGTAGATCGCGGACCCCGTGCTGTTTGTACGTAAGTGTATGATTTAACTCAAAAAGTACCAAAGATATACCAAGTTTGACGTTTTTACTTAATTCCACCTACCTATAAATCAAAACCTAACCTAACCGTACTAAAATCCGACGAATAAAAAAAACCAAATTTAACCCTTTTTAAATTAGCGTATCTTCTTCCCATAGGTCTAATCTACACTTCGTCATTCATTTATATATAAGATATATTGACAACAAATAATAATACAAATCAACAAATACACCCGATTAACCAATTGGCACACGACGGATTCCGAACGTATCTACGCCATAGAGTAATATTACTCTATGATCTACGCACACTAATGATAATTGATAATAAAATTTACTTCTCAGTTCTCTTACAACCACATTGTGTAACGAGTAATCGAATTGCCTATACGCGACCCCTTATTAAATCACCGGCACCAATCCCATTAAACTGCGGGGTCTCGACATTATCACCAAACCTACCTACCATGAAATAATTTTGAAAATGTTTCGTCTCTTTTTGTGCTATTTGTAGTATTCTAAATTTTTTTAGTTCTATTTCGATTTATGTCATGTTGGATACCTATTCAATGAGTAATTGATCAAAAATGTGTACAATTTTTCTGAAAAATATTATGTTTCACTATTATACCTAATGAGTCATTGTATAATACATAATAATAATAATTATATTATTCATCCATTCACGGACCAATTTTTATAATATTATGTAGCAACACACGGATCATGGGATATCCGTCACTACTAACACTACATAACTATCGATATTCACAACTATCGTTTTCTATCGATAGTTTAAATACTAGAATCGATAGTATTCGATAGTCATATAAATAGTATTATACACGGACTATTTTTTTTTTCAGCTTAGTCCGTGGTAGATGGTCTTTTGTTATCAGTTGATAACCACACCACCGATCGCCGTTATACCGGGTACCGAGTATGAGGTTTCCCCACTCCAATTAGAGGAGCGTTGACGCACGCTTGCGCACGACTCGGCGGTACACCTCGAGGCCCGCCGACCGCCTGGCGACTGGCACTTACTACTTAGTCAGTTCGGCACTGCGCAGCGTCTGGGGCCTAGGTGAATATCGCGTTCGTCGACCATTATTCGCCGTGCGCGTTTGCTCCAGTCGCGACCGTGTGGCTGAGCCCATCATCAGCAGACCAGCCGTCGACGATTCGTTTTTCGCCGTTTTTTGCCGTCACCTACAGACTACGACCACCACAGGTAGACGAACACATCCGGAGTTCGACGCGTCGATCACGACTATAGACGATTCTACGCATCTTGAAAGCACGTAGGTATCTTACTGTTGTTTTTCCGTTTTGCAATTGCACGAGCTTTTCCGCGACGAGCGCGTGCGGTGGACTCCGTGCACCGGTCGTCGCGGTGGTTCCGAGCAGGTCCCGTTCCCCGGTTCCGTCGCCATTACACCGGAGCGGGTGTCACAATTCGTCGACAAAACCGCGCGCGTGCGTGCCGCACCTACCGGCTACACACCCGTGCGGCACGAACCACTGCATTTTAGTTGTCCGTATCGTTCTCTCTCCTGGCACTATCGCCGCCGCAGGCCGCTCCTGTTCCTGCACTCGCCCCCCGACGGCGTATTGCGTCCATGACGACTGCCGAAAAAGTGAGTCGTACTCTGACAACGGTGCAGGTGTGCCTGTTAGGGTGACGGTGGCGTTGCAGCAGGTACTCCGTAGGCGGACACTGGTGTCACCTCTCGGGTGTTGGTCGAGAAGTCGTCGT